GTCTCCACCGATGCTGCACTGAGACCCCTCCTCCCCTCTGTCTTCTGCTGCTGCTGCTGCTGCTGCTGCTCCTCGGTCCTCCCGCTCTCTATGGCTAGGCAGTGGGGGGCCCACAGCTACAGGAGACGCAGAAGAGCTCATGGATCCCCTTCGGCTTCTCCTAGGGGATTTCCCGTATGCAGCAGCAGCAGCATCAGCAGCAACAGCAGCAGCACCTGGCTGCGAGCTGCGCCAGGCGGGAGCTGAGGTGGTGTCTCCGTTTGTCTCCGCTCCTGCCTCGCCTCCTTTAGCATCCTCAGCAGCAGCTGCTGCTGCTTCTGCTGCTGCAGTTGTCGCCCCTGCGGCGTCTCCGCCTGCTGTCTCCTGTGCTGCTGGCATTCTCATGGCCTTGGGGATGCCCAGGCGTCTCTCGTGTCTCTCTTTTGCTGCTGCTTCAGCTGTAATCTCTCCACTGTCTTCTGCAGCCTCCGCCTCTGCAGCAGCTGGGGACGCCTCTGCTGCAGCGACAGCGGCCCTCTCCGGGAGCTCCGTCAGTTCTTGCTCCTGCTGCTGCTGCTCCTGCTGCTGCTGCTCCTGCTGCTGCTGCTGTTCCTGCTCCTGCTGCTCATGCAGCAGCTGCTGTGGATCATTGCCGTCGCTATCAGTAGCAGCAGCAGCAGCAGCAGCTGCTGCTGCTGCACTTGGTGTCTCTCCAGCTGCCAGCAGGTAAGCCTCCGCTAGTGCTGCAGCAGAAGACTCATCAACTCCCCCCTGCGATGCAGCAGACCGTTGCAGCTGCCGCCGCTGCATCAGCTGCTGCTGCGCGCTTCGTGACAGCACTATTTTAATCTTCGGCTTCATATCCAGAGACCCCAAATATTTCTCTGCAGCTCTCCCGCTGTCACCGGGGCCCCCAGGGGACCCGAGAGGGTCTTGGGGGGCCCCCTTGGGCCCCGCGCTGTCTCCGGCGGCCCGCAAGAAGGGAAACGCCGCCTCAGATACACTCTCACCTCTCGCGCTAGCTTGTTCACCCCCTGCTGCCCCTGCTGCTGCTGCTGCTGCTGCCAGTGTTTGCTTTGTTGCAGCATCTGCTGCTGCTGCTGCTGGCTTGCCTTCGCCTGGAGAAGACGATACCCCAGGTGCAGCGACACCCCAGCGGCTCTTCCACTTGGAGACGCGTCCCTCGGGCTTCGCAGGAGCAGCACAGCTGCTGCTGCTGCTTCCAGCACCACTCCCGGCCGCAGCAGCAGGAGCAGCAGCAGGAGCAGCAGCAGGAGCAGCAGCAGCAGCGGGCCCACCCCCAGAAGGTCCTACTCCGGTGGCTGCTGCTCCCTCAGAGCCCGCCTCAAGGGGGTCCTTCGCGTACCGATCCTGGACCGCTCCAGCGTTGCTGTTGCGC